GTGCGAGTCATTTGCAGTTCGTACCACGTGCAAGGTACACCTCATTTACCATGAGGAAATTAGAGTGTTTCAAGCATGGAACATAAGCGCCGATATCAAGGCCGCTGTGGTTCAAAAGAGCTGTCCGCATGGCAGCGGAGCCCCTAGTGGGGTAACAGGTTGCCGTGCAGCCATACGACGGTGAAGCCTGTGGACGAGCCTCTTAACTAGTGTTGCAGTGCTCGCAATCAGTGCTCACTGACTCAGAGGACGACGATTGCTCTGGCTGCGCTTTGACCTGATCCCCGTGAACGCTTAGGAGCCCAACGAGAAACCGATCCAGGACTATACCGACGAGATGGATGTTTCTGACCCATCCTTGGTTGCAGGTTCTCCGACAGCTCGAGGACAAGCCCAAGGACAAGTTCAAGGACTCAATGAGCTAGCACGGTTGGTGGCTAGTGCTACAGCTGCAGCCGCACAGGCAGCTGAAGCAGCTGCTGCTACTTCGACGACGAGGCCTCCTGATGAGAAATCCAAGAAAGACCTCTACAAGTTGATCCCTAGGCCTTCTACGTTTGCCCCTGCTGACCGAGATCAAGAAGTTGCTATGTGGAGAGATTGGTTTTGGAGTTTCAAGCAGTACCTGCTGGTGGTCGACGGCAACTATGAGAACGACTTGGAGGAGCTGGACAAGAACCCGGAGACTGAAGTGGATTGGGACCTCTTGGATGCCGAGGAGCAGCACAGAGGGCGGTTCCTTTACAGCCTTCTTGGTTCCCTACTCCAAGGACGGCTGTTGAGTATGGTGAGGAACGTGGACCGCTCGAATGGACTGGAAGCTCTTCGAAAATTGCTGCAGAATTGTGAGCCGAAGTCTCGCAATCGAACTATGTCCATGCTGCAGGGCATCATGGGCTACCCCAACTTCAACATGAAGGTCTCCGTCATGGCCCAGGTGATGAGATTGGAGGAGCACTTCCTCCAGTACGAGAAGCTTGGTGGAAAGCTGACTGATGAAATGAAGTCAGCAGTGTTGCTGAAGTGCATCAATGGACCTCTGAAGGTGCACTTGAACCTCTCCCTGAACGAAGGTAGCAAGTATGAGACCATCCGGGACGTGATCAAGACCTATGACACGGCTACAACGAAATGGTCCGAGGCTGCAGTGAGTCCGTTTTCCCCTTTGTCCCCTCCTGGTGATCCCAATGGGCCTTCGCCAATGGAAGTAGACAGGATCAAGGGCAAGGGCAAGGACTCCAAGGGCAAAGGCAAAGGAAAAGATGGAAAAGGGAAAGGAAAGGAAAAAGGAAAAGACCAAAAGGGCAAAGGCAAACAGAATGGCAAGGGCACTCAATGGACGTCTGGTGGCAACAACAACCAATGGTCTACAAGCTCTTCATCGACTACTTCGTGGTCAATGGTCCCGAAGAAGGGCCAGAAAGGCCAGTCCTCAGATGGAAAGGGCAAGTCGAAGGGCATGAAAGAATGTTACAATTGTGGCCAACCTGGTCACTTTGCGAAGGACTGCTGGAAGGTCAGACAGATGGCTGGTCCAGAGACAGGTACTGTGATCAGCTCAGCTCATGGTGGAGGGCAAGAAAGTGTTGGCCCCTCAGCTTCACAACATCCAGCAGCACCTCAACACCCTTCAGCGGTCAAACGAGTTTCACTACAACCTGGAGAAAACCGTGGAACTTCTGTGACCTTTGACATGAGAGGATCATCACCTTTGAGTTCAGGATCCCTCAGAATGGTCCAGTTCTACTACCTCGACAACGACATGAACGAGCTCCAGGAGGATTTTCAGTGCGAGGTGGACAACTCACCTCCTTTTAGAGTCATCATTGACTCTGGAGCAGATGCCCCAGTTTTTCCTGCTTCACTTGCTCATTGTGGACAAGCACATCATGGTGAACAAGTGGCTTTGCAGGACGCCCAGGGCAACCAGATTCCAACTATGGGGCAGAGAGCAGTCTCAATTCTGCTCGAGGACAACCGTGGAATTGGGATGGAGCTGATTGACAACGTGGTCTTCTCACCTGAGGTGACGCAGCCCATCCTGAGCTATGGTCGTTTGATGAATGCTGGTTGGAGCATTGATGCTCAACAACAATGTCTACGCAATGGTGACTATGCCGTGCCCCTCATGCTGCAGAACAACAGCCTGGTGGTGGAAGCTCGGGTGCGCACTATCACGTCTTCTACCTGTACCTCGTTGCCTATGGAGGTGCGCTCTATGAAGGCGGTCTTCACTTCTGGACTTCAAGGCTATGTGGACACTGGCTTTGGATGGAACAGAGAAGGTGCCAGATGGATTGGAGTTCACTTGAGCAACAAGTACCAGGACCCCATCTACATCACTGGCATCGACATGGAGGTGGAATGGCGCAGGGCGACGGTCATCAAGAAGGACAACGAGTGGCTCATGGTGGAATACTGTGAGAAAGTGACAGAGATGGTGGATGCCAACCGCTTCATTGAGGAGACGATCGGCAGAACGACATCCTCATGGACAAGCACTTGCGAAGGAGCCCACTCAGCAGGAGATTGACCAGCACGAGCTCACCCACACACCGTATCAACCTTGGTGTGATTCTTGCATCAAACATCGTGCTCGACCTGACCGACACCTGAGAACAGGAGCTTCACATGAAAGCGCCATCCCCATCATCTCCATGGACTTTGCGGTGACGAAGAAGAAAGATGGCCTGGACCCCAATCCTGAAGGTGAGGCATGTGACAAGGGAGCACTATGGCTAGTGTTGACATGTAGCCAGACAGGTTACCTGAGTGCCATCCCGATCCAAGCAAAGAGCCAGCTGCACTACATGACCCACGAAGTGCTGACCTTTGTGCAGACGCTGGGGTGTGCCGAGGTTGGTTTCTATGGTGACAATGAGCCCACGATCAGACAGATCCTCAAGACGGTGATCACCTCACGTCATGCACTTGGCCTTGACTCGAGTTTTTGCTGCACGGGTGAAGGATTCAGCAAGCAATTCTTTGGTGGAAAATGCAATTCAACGAGTACGGCAACTGGCATGCACTTTGGTCCAAGATGTTTCAAGCCGCACTGGTTTGACCTTTCCATGTGAACATGCTTTGTGGAGCTGGGCAGGACGTCACGCAGCTTGGTGCCTCAACCGTTACCAGGTGGGAAAGGACGTGACCTCCTACGAGCTCATCCATGGAAGGACCTATGCTGGCAAGATATGCCGATTTGCAGAGCCAGTCTATGCCTACTGCAAACCACGTGGAAAAGCTGATGCACGTTGGAAAGTTGGTCTCTTTCTGGGAAAGACAGAAGCCCAGGATGCATGGATCATTGGAGATGGAGTGGATGTGATGCTCACCAGAAGCATCAGGCGTGTCGACAAACTGTGGACCAAGAACCTGGCCTACTTCACGGGACTCCAGACCCACAGCTTCGTGTACCAAACCAGTTTTGGTGGGAGGATTGTCCCATCGAAGCGAAAGGTTGCACCACAACGCCAAGAAGGACGAGTTCTTCCGAAGCTTTCTGAGGTGGAGCAGCGCTTTGCAGATGAAGAGGCAGCTGCTGTGATGGCCTATGCAAGGTCAAGGCAAGGAAGATTGGAAGCACAGCAAGAAGTTCGAGAAGCTCTTGAAGAACTTCCTGATCGACCTCTTGGTGGAACAACGTCTGTGGTGGATCCTTTGCCTGCTCAACTTGGAGCAGGAGGAGTTCAAGTTGCAGCACCAGGTGAGCCCAGCAACGCTACGATGTTAGCGATGCCTTCTTCGCCTCGTGGACAAGTTGGACGCGAAGGACAGCGACCAGATGGCGAAGAACCTTCCGCGAAGCGAAGCTGTGCGGAAGAGAGCCTTGTTCGCCGAATGGCGACGATCGAGCGACGCTTGGTGGAAGTTGAGTTCGCTGGCGACAAGTGCTATCACCTCGACGAGATCTACTCCCAGGAGAATGTCATGGCTTTGGATGATGAGCTTGGCGAAAAGGAGCTCAATGACAACCTCAACGTGAACAAGATCCCTGAGGAACTTTGGTCAGATGCATTGCTGACCAGAACGCCTCCGGAACCACTTCCAGAAGTTGATCGAAAGGCTGATGAAGTTGAAGTTCAAAGACTACAAGCTATGGGAGTCCTCGCACCACTTAGCGAGGAGGAGGAGAGAACACTGGGAACATTGACGACAAGAATGGTCTATGATTGGCGAGTAAAGGACTACACCGACCCGAAGACCAACACTACGCGAAAGAGATGGATGCGAAGGGCGAGATTGGTGGCGAGAGAATATGCCCATCAACGACGTGACGATGTGCATTCCCCAGCCTCTGGTGGACAAAGTCTTCGCCTACTACCAGCCCTTTACCTCATGCTGAGGTCCGTGGACGGTGTGGAGCAGAAGGATATCCAGATTGGAGCCCTGGACATCAAGGATGCTTTCTTGCAAGTTGAGCAAGAGGTGCTGGTGCAGGTGACTACGAAAGTTGGAAAGTTCCGAGTTGACCGAAACTTGCCGGGACAAAGAATTGGCGCAAAAGCTTGGTTTGACCATCTCACCGAGTACCTCAAGACTTGTGACTATGTCTTCAGCAGGGAGAATCCGTGCCTTGGGAGAAGAGATGATGGCACCTACCTGCTGATTCACGTGGATGATATCATGTTCTGTGGGATGACTGAAGGTGTGAAGAAGCTGATCATGCAGCTCAAGGAGAAGTTCAACATCTCCGTCAACATCGCTCAGTACGAGGACGACACCTTTGAGTTCCTGAAAAGGACCTACAAGTTGAAGGATGACGGCATTGACATCATGCCGGGACGCTACGATGATTCGATGATTGAAGCCTTTGAGAACCGCTATGGCAAGGTGAAGTTGCAATCAGTGCCGTGTGGAGAAGATGCCCAGGACATTGGCTCCACGCACTTCTTGCCGATGGACGAGGCGATGCTCTACAGATCTTTGGTGGGAAGCGGCATTTACTTGTCGCAGGAACGAATTGAAGTGGCCTTTGTGGTGAAACAGCTTGCTGGTGGGATGAGCAACCCTACCTATGGACATCTTCAGGTGATGCGCAAGCTGATTGGCTACTTGAAGGCGACGAAGGGCTACCATAGCCATTTGGGCTATCCAAGTGCTGGACAAGGAGTTCACCATCACTACGATTCCAAGTGGGTGGTGGAAAGTTTCACTGATGCAGATTGGTCTGGGAACAAGCAGACTCGACGCTCTACAAGCGGCGCCATTCATTGTGTGAACGGCTTGGTGTGTTTCCATTCGAGCCGTGGCCAGAAAGTTGTGAGCCTCTCCTCAGCAGAATCAGAGTTGCACAGCTTAGTTTCAGGAGCGACAGACGGCGTGTTTGTGAGACGTTGTCTTGGCTTCTTGATTCAGGAGGAGCCCTACCACGTGTGCCTCATCGACAACTCCGCGACCAAGCAGATTGCCAACAAACGAGGAAGTGGACGTCTTCGGACATGGGAATGGGAAGGAGCTTTGGATCCAGGACCAGGTGGCAGCCCATGAGATGGAAGTGAAGCAGATCCGCACAGTGCTGAACATTGGTGACATGGGAACGAAACCACTTGGTAAAGCTCGACTTCAAGCTCTGATGTGCTGGTGCAATATCCGGGACAAGAACGACAAGTTGGTCGGCGAGGACGAAGCTTCAAAGCTCAAGGAGACCCAATTGAATAAGGCCAAGATCATGCGAGTGGCGAAGATGCTCTACGCTATGGTTTTGGTTGGCGGCCTTGAGTCCGCAGATGCTATGATGATTCCCTTGCAGGTGGACCCGCCGGAAGTCTACATCCAGCGCTATATCATGGTGCTTGCGGTGATCTTCATCGTGACCATGTGCATGGTGGTGTTCTATGTGGTCAAGGCCTTTCAAGTACTTCATGGACGAGTTCGGGCCTTGGAGCAAGATCTTCAGCGATGCTCCAACGAGTTGGAGATGCACCATCTACATGGCCAAGCACTGCAAATGGGTATCATCAGGCTTGGTGGCTACGTGGACCTCAACGAGCACATTTCCGAGAATGACTGGGACAACTGGAACTACATCCAGAAGCAGAACATCGTGGAGGAAAACTATGACTGCAGGCGCGTGCTCAGATCTTTGGGCAAGGACACGCGAGCCCTACAGAAACGAGCTTCGACGCCTACCCCGAGGACATCGCGTTCTCATGATGATCTTGGAGGAGAAGATGGATCTGAAGGAGATGACCTGGAGACTGCCGATGAGCGCAGACAGCGCTATCTGCAGGCCACGATGAGTGAAGTCAGCGACCCCGACGATTGGGCCGATCTTCACTATGGACCTCACTCCAGTCCTCCGAGACGATCTTCGAGAAGGAGTTCGCGAAGGACCTCCCGTGCGCGAAGTTCAAGGGCAAGATCTCCAGATGCTGAACCTGAGGGAGCTGAGAACTCAGGTGGCGAATCCGAGGACGCTCTGAGGGAAGACTTCCGAGCAGACACCTTCCTCGAGTGGCCTAGCATCGATTGGAGAAGTTCTTTCAACAGAGCCCAGTTGAAAGCCTGTAGAGTGATTGTGGATTTGTGTTTCCGCGCTATTGAAGCTGCGGAGAATGGGCATGAACCTATGGCCCAGTGGTGCCAAGCTGAAACTGCTAAACACAGGCAGTACAGCGACATTGGCATGCTCGAACTGCCAATGCCAAATGGCACCTAGAGTTTTGACTCAAAGCACCAAGGAGGAGTGCGAGTCATTTGCAGTTCGTACCACGTGCTAGGTACACCTCATTTACCATGAGGAAATTAGAGTGTTTCAAGCATGGAACATAAGCGCCGATATCAAGGCCGCTGTGGTTCAAAAGAGCTGTCCGCAAAAGGTGAGTTGGTTTCAGAAAGAAAGCTTACCACTGAACAGATTCTCTTCAAGTTGTTGGTCACGTTTCAGCCGGGAGGATCAGGAGAACGGGCCCAGATTCTTCGTGTCATCTCAGAAGGGTATCAAGGGGATACGGTTTCGGGAGTACTTCAGTGGGTACGGGGATGGCGAAGAAATGTGACTAGGGCTGTTGAGGTTGGCATGGTGTTACCGGATGCTCTGGTTATGGTGGGAGCTGTTCACAAAGGATCTGAAGTGTTGAGCCTGAAGTCCCCGCAAGTTGCCTACCGCCTCAACTTGATCCGGCAGCAGTTGCTGCTAGATCAACACCCATCGCTGGAAGCTGTGTTGACGTACACGGAGCATTTGCAAGCGGAAGCCGAGGAGTTGGAGCTTGCCGATTCTGGGGTGGGTCAAGCCGGGGGGGTTGTAAGGGAGGGGACCAAACCATCAAAGACCTCGCTGAAAGCGTTGACTGGAGGTTCAGGCGATGGGGGCACCACCGGAACTCCCCAAAAGGAAGCAGGAAAGGGGGCTCATCAGGCCGTCAATGCGGCCAATGTGTCATCCACCCAGCCATGCAAATTTTGGGGAACCAATGATGGCTGTAGGAGAGGAGATCGGTGTAAGTATGTTCACTCAGTTCTCAATCCTAGAGATCAAAGGTGCTTCGGATGTTCGGCATTGGGTCATGCGAAAAAGGATTGCCCGAATATGAGCTCATCCCATTCTGGTGTTCCTAATTCTGGGGAAAAGAAGAAGAAGGTTGCCAAGACTAAAGGTGACAAGTCAAAGGCTGATGCAGGTGAAAAAGGCAAAGAAAAGGAAAGTGAAAAACCTCTGGCTCCGGCCACCGAGGATATGGGCAGAATGTCTGGGGATGGTTTAAAAGGGGGCGGTTCAAGTAGCGGGTCGGGTGATTGTAGTGGATCGTCGGCTCCGGCCACCACAAAGGGAGACGATCGAATTGGGGACCTGCTGCAGGAAGCCACAGCTCTCATGAAAACTCTCAGGCCTAGTGTGAAGGTACTATCCATGAAGAAGTCCATTGCAGGTGTGTCAGCTACAGGCTTGTTGGATGGGGGTGCTACCAATCCGTTGAGACGGGGCACCGTTGAGGAGATCAAGTCGGCAGTTGAAGTAGAAGTCGAGTTGGCTGCTGGGTCCACTCGTTTATACCAATGTGTGCAAACCGGAACCCTGCTGACCAAGGATGAGGTTGAACCCATTGTACCGCTTCGGGGATTGATATCACTGGGGTACAAGATCCTGTGGGATTCCCATGGTTGCAACATCAATCATCCTACTCATGGCAGAATTCGGTGTTGGCTCCGAAATGGTTGTCCGGTGGTTGATGAGAAGAAAGCATTGGCTCTGATCCAAGAAATCGAGGAGCAGGAAAGGTTGCGCCGTTTGGGTCCGAGGTTAGCGGTTGGGGCTATCGGTGAACCGGCCCGGATTGGTGGTTGTCTCATTTTCCTGAAATTCCTGACGATGTTCTTCAATATATGGTTGGTCAAGATCAGGAGTATGATGGCAAGGATCTCCCCTGGAACCATAGGACAAGGAAAAGAATTGCAAGAGCAAAGGGGGTGATCCTGCATGTGTTTGCCGGAGGGCCAGAATCTGCTAAGGAATGGCAGAAGGGATGGCCTCCGGGCATCGAGTTGCTTAGTGTTGATGTCACTCATGATCCCCGTCAGGATTTGCACCGACCTGCCACTTGGGGTTATCTGTGTTCCTTGGCGAAGTCAGGTCGGCTTTGTGGAATCATAGGCAGCCCGCCATGCAGGACTGTATCACGCTTGCGGAACTTGCGTCCAGGTCCCCCTCCACTGCGAAATCGGCGGAATAAACGGTATGGGTTAGATGGGCTGGCTTTTGAGGATAGAACCAAGGTGCAGGGTGATTCTGCTCTATTGTTGAAGCAGCTGGGTTTGCACATTATGGCATGTGAATCGGGTCATCCTGGTGTTCCTCCACCAGGGTTTGTGTTGGAATCCCCGGAAGACCCTGCCACGTATGCTCAAGAGCATGAGGCTCCAAGTTTTTGGGCTTGGCCTGAAATGGCTTATTTCCAAAGAGCCTACTCCATGTTCATGTTCAACTTTGATCAGGGACGGTTGGGGCACAAACAGGTGAAACCTACAGGGTGTATGACCAATCTGCGTGAGTTGGAATGGTTGAATGAACAGCGTTGTAGTGGACCCCAAGGATCCCAACTTCATCCTGATTTGAACCAAAGGGTCAAGCAAACTGCTAGCTGGTCAGCATGGGCCCCACAGTTCAAGGAAGCCATCCGCAGTGCCTTGATGAATCACGTACTGGGTTGGGGGGAGATCGGAGCAGGTGTCAAACGGTTGGACCACCAAGCGATGTGGAAGCAGCATGTCATCAATGGTCATGTTCCTTTTAGACGGGATTGCAGGGGGTGCCTTCTCACTATGGCTTCTCAACGTCCCCATCAAAGGCAAAAGAATGCTGGTGGATCATCATGGTCGATGAGTTTTGATATTGTTCCTCTGGTGAAAACGCTGGATGAGATCACCAATACTCCGGTTAGGAATGCTTTGGTGGCTACAGGTGCAGTTCCCAGGTTTGAACCTGATGATCCAGGTCCGCATCGCACCGTGGGTGAGTGTCCAGGTCCGGAATCCTCACATGATCGTCCACCGGTCCATGAAGAAGATTGGGGGGATGGTTTAGAAGAAGAGGAGTTTTCCTTGGAACCTTCTCCGGCAGAGGCATAAACCCCTGCGGGTCCCACTGAACGAGTGATGGGGTTCCCCCGGTATCCTCCTTCGATGATGAGGTTCAACGAGAAATCACATGGTGCCGTAGACCTGTTGCCATTCACCATCTTACGGCTGTGCATCCCATGTCATCACGTAAGGTCCCTGATGCTCTGGCTGCTCTACAAACTGTTTTTAATCGCTTTCGGTACATGGGAGTCCCCATTAACCGTGTTCATAGCGATCGAGCTGAGTTTCAGTCAGTTCCGATCCAAAGGTGGATCAGACAGCAGGGGTTGGCTCAGTCGTTCACTCCGGGGGACGACCCGGCGGCCAATGGCCGGGTTGAGGCAGAAGTGCATCAGGTTAAGCGACGCACATGCGCTCTCCTGCACCATGCAGGTTTATCCAACGCCTCTTGGCCCACTGCTATCAGGTTTGCAGCGGAACAACGCCTCAGGTCTCAGCTCAGGCACCTTGGGTGCATCGCCCCTCCTGTCTTGCCGTTCATGCAGGAGGTAGCGGTGAAACGGAAGAGGTGGAACAATGCTGGTGTTTTGGCTAACCCTTTTGTTATGGGTAGGGTCCTGTGTCCTAGTCCTCAGATGACATCTGGCTGGGTTGTGAGAACTACGGATGGAAATCTCATGCATGTTCGCGAGGCCATCATTCCATCTCAAGTGGGAGACCAAGTGATAGTTCAGCTGCAGGAACATCCACCACCTCCAATACCAGTTGATGAACATGAATCTGAAGGCCCTCCACGTCGTAGGCTCCATGGTAAGCAAATGGCAGATCCCAATCAACATCGGGTCTATTTTCCTGATCCTGTTCTGTTGCTTGGGGACTCTGCTGGTGACCCGAATGTGTCATTCGGGGGGGAGTCCTCTTCTTCTTCTCCAAATCCAAATCCGAATCCTGCTTCCAATCATGTTTCCAATTCTGAAAATGTGGAAGGTTCCGAAAACACGGAAGGTCCGGGAGTGTCGTCTGGAGTTGTGGCCGAAGGGGAAAGTCGAGGAGTGTCGTCAGGAGCTGAGTCGGAAGGATCGTCAGGAGTCTCGTCAGGAGTGTTGTCAGGAGTCACGTCGGGAGTGTCCAGTGATGGTGGCGAGTTTCTTGGTGGTCGAGGTGAGGTTGATGTTGTGATCAAATCAATAGCTAGGAGGTCGACCTATGATGTGGAGATGGAGTGGTTGTTGGATGTCCAGGACAGGTTGTCGGGTACTCTTGAGGACAGGCTCGGGGGAGGCCAGGAGGTTCATGTGGGCCTGGAGGACAAGATTCTTAGGGAGGCTGACTTTGAAAGGAAGGTCGTCGAGGACAATCTTCAGGCTGTGGAAGAATGGAGGGAGGAATCGGTTAGGAGGCTGTGCGCGATTCAGGCAGGGAACGGTGAAGGTTCTCAAGGTTTGGGAGAGTGTGGCCTGGAGGTTCTCGGTGAAGGAAATGGTGATCCTCCGGATGTGCTGCAAACCACCACTGTTTCCTTGGACGAGGTTAGAAGGGATCTGGAAGGTCGGAAACCGGCAATTCACAAGGAATATGAATCTTTGGTGAATGAGACCAAGGCAATTGAGCCGGTCGACGTCCGGGAGCTGGACCTGGCTACCACTGAGTTTGTTCCAGGAAAACTTGTGTGTGTGGTCAAAGCGGGAGAAAAGGGGTCCTCGTAGGATGCTGCTTCTGGGAATGTGTATGCTTCAGGGGCTGATGGAGTACTGACCAGGACGGTACTGTGCCATGGAGTTCAAAGGGGATGGGGAATGTCTGTTGTGGATGTGAAAACAGCATTTCTGTTGGCACCCAGAAAAAAGCCAGAGGTTGGAGCAAGGGAAGTCATAGTCACCCCCCCCAAGATCATGATCACGGCAGGAGTAGTCTCTCCTTAGGAGAGGTGGCGCGTCCACAAGCATGCGGTCAACAACGTTGATAGCGCCTTAAATTTACTAACGGGAAAAAGTTTTCGTGCCCCAAAAACTTTTTAGCCAAGAAGACCTACCTCTTTGCCTTTGCTCTCTGAGCATCGTATGCCCGGCTCTTGGTAAAACCAAACCGTGTAAGAATGTTTGCAACGACATATCCACTTGCAAGATCACCAACCTGCAAAACAAACCTAAACTGTTTCGAGAACCTTGCCAAATCTTAACCTGCACGCAGTTTCAGATGTCAACATGTTTTCCTTGAAATCAGAGTTTGTGCAATCACAGTTTAGGTCTTGGTAACTCACTCATTTCATGTCACCCGTTTAAAGTTTGTCATTTCTTGCTTTTTGTGGTTGCTCTACGGCTAATCGGGGGTCTTGACCTTCTTTTCAATGGATGTTGGTGGAAATTTGGATTTGAGAGATGACAGTCCTGCAGTTCCTGACGGTTTTCATGGTGATGCTTCCGATTTTCCAGGTTATAGTTTTGAGCAGCCTTTATTTGGAGGTCTAGATCCTCTTCCTGGTACAACTCATGACCCTGCCGATGAAACTTTAGTTGATGGATTTGTGCCCCAGTTTCATGATGACCTGTCCGCCTTTTCAGGTTGTGGTAGCGATGGCCGTCCATTGTTCGAACCTGCGGCTGGAACTACGGGTGCGAGCTTGTCGGGACCTTTTGACCCGTTCAGGCGATGTGCAGTGCCGGCCACTCAACCAACTTTGAATGCAGTGACAAATGAGGCCATTTTTGCCAGGTCTTTGCTCACAAACTGTCAAGCTACTGACATTGTTTTGCCTTGGGAAACTGGTATTTACAAAGAACTTTTCAGTGATGAACCAGTCAGCCAGACTTTAGTTCCGGCTATGCCCATTGGTGCTTTGGTTAGTGTCGAAGCAGAGCCAGAGCCTCAAGTGGTTGGACAACAGCTGGCAGGTGCTGCATCATTTGTGGATAAATCACCAGTTTTTATGAGATGCATTGGTTCAGCCGACGATGGACCGTTCAACACCGTACAGGCCAAGCTTCACATGTCAGCTGTAAACAAGTTTCTTGTTGTGTTGCGTCACAATTTGAAGAGCAGCACGACCGGTACGCATATCCTGGCTTTGGGAAGTGAGATGGAACAAGCAGCAGGGGCCAGTGCCATAGTTGAAGCAGTCCTGGGTACCAGGTCACCTGCCACTCTGATGAAGAGAGCCAATTCTTTACTGTCTTATTTGCGATGGTTTGACAGGGCTGGGTTTCTGGACATTGAACCTTTTTCAGAGGAGTGCATATGGAGGTACTTCCAGCATTTGCGGGATGAGTGTGCGCCTTGCACCAAGGGAAGCTCTGCCTTGTCTTCGTTCAGGTTTGCATTCCATATACTTGGAGTTGAGGGTCTGGGCCCCGCTCTGAGCAGCAGAAGGTTGGTAGGCATTTGCGAACTGATGTTGTCAAAGAAACGACTGTTGAGGCAATCATTGGTCCTCACTGTTGCCCAAGTTAAGGGTCTTCATCAAGCCCTTCGCAATACATGCCTTCATGTGATGGACCGCGCTGTTATTGCATATTTGCTTTTTGCATTGTATGGCAGGTGTCGCCATAGCGATCTCGCGATGATCCACTCAGTGGAGGCCGACTTCACGAGTGCAGGGGGCTTTGTGACTGTCCAGACCTGTACTCATAAAACTGGTAGACTGGCGATTTTGAAGTCGCGTCTCATGCCTATTGTGATTCCTGCAAGGGGTGTAGACGGTCTCGTCCGGGTTGGTGATGCCCTGGATGTGTTCTCAAAAGCTGGAATGGTGCTGGAGACTCCCATGGACGGTCCCTTGCTTCGGGCTCCATCAGGGGGTCCTGATAAGTTCATGCAAAGGGGCCTGAAGTCTGCCGAAGTTTCTGTGTTGCTCCGGAAATTCATTGGGTCTCCTGACCCCATTCCTGGTTCGAACGATGAGGTTGTTTCGAGCCACAGCTTGAAATCCACTGCGCTGTCGTGGTGCGCACGGTTTGGAGTCAGTCCTGCTTCAAGGTCTTTGCTTGGGCGGCATGCGTCTTGCCTGAACGAGACATATGCAATCTATTCACGGGACTTGGTCTGTTCCCCAGTGGTTGAACTTCAAAAGGTGATTGACGCCATTGCTGATGGGAGCTTTGCACCTGACTCACAGCGTTCCAAGTTCTTTGCAACCCCACCCGGGGAGGAGGCCGTTGGCCCAGCTGACAATGGAGATGCCGTTGCAGGTTTTGGTGATGCCGCCATGGGCTCAGCTGGTGTTGGAACAGCTGTCAGTGAGCTCATCGAGTTCTCTGGTGGTGGAGTGGAGCTGGCTGACACTGGAAGCGAAGTGCCGAGCCCTTCCCCGCTTGCCCTGGGTGAACATGATGGCGCGGTTGATGGGCCACAGGGAGCTGAACTTGGTGGTGAAGATTCTTCATCCTCGGAGTCTGGGGGCGATTTGTCCTCATCGGAGTCCGTTGTGATGGAAACCACTGCTAGGGTCAAGCGCTTCAGAGCAAAGATCCCGGAGGGGCAGTGCTGGTTCGTGCACTCCAAGTCCCACCTTGTCCACCGCCATGATGGAGATGAAGTGGACGGCATGAAGTTTACGGTCTGTGGCAAACGCTTGTCTTCAAATTACGTCCCATGCACAGAGGCCACAGCCTGGAATGTCTTATGTAAGTCTTGCAATCGCAAGTGACGCATCAAACCGATGCCTGCAAAAAAAAAATGTTGCTGCTTGTGTGGCTTGACATGCCACTTGCGTCATGAGGGATGAGCCTCCTGCATTTGCTTGTGAATCGCAGCATTTATCCTGAGGGATGATCCTCATTACATGTTGTGTTGATGGGAACATTGCAAGCTTGGAGGGATGACCTCACCAATACGACAGCATGCCGCTGTTGCCTGGTTCAAGAATTCGTTTTTGCATGTCAAAAACAGTTGGGACTTTTTCACTCACCATGTTTGCATGCAGTTCTCATGCATTTCGATAGTTTTTTCGTTTACTGCTATTCCATTGTGACATCATTTTTCGCATTTCACTGCCGTTTAGTCAGACAGCCATGACCTCATTTGTGGATTCAGAAGCCCAATTTGACCTTCGCCTCGAACAAGTCAACGTGCCTTCAGCGCTCAGAACCGCGTTGAAGAACTCAGGGGTGAATACCATTTCCTCTCTTGCATATGCGCATGGCCAGCCAGGCCAACCAATTTCGAACGAAGAGTTTGGGACTTGGGTCAGGCAGCTTGACCCCCATGCAACCATAGGAGGAGTGTCATCGCTCAAGAGGTTGCTCTTCGAGAGCCAAACGCAACTCTTGGCCTTGTTGAAAGATCAAGTTACCAACCCAGAACCGCTGGCTCCAAAAAAGGTGCCCCAGGCTGAGCGTGAAGCCCGCCTTGCAAACCTTCGCACACGTTTGGCAGGTGTGCTCATTGAGGGCCACACAGAACCTTCCCATGCTTTGCTTGACCAGGCATCACAGATGTATGACCAAAACATCCTGCGGTATATCCCGCTGGAGAAATGCTATAGCCGCCTTACAGAGCTTTCAGTGTCCACAAAAGCCCCAGCAAAGTTGTTGGAGGTAGAAGCATCAAAAATTGTGGTGAAAGACAAGGAACTTGACCATGAAGCCACGGTACAATCCTCCTATCAGGCACTGGAGGCCTTCAAACGGCGTGGGTTAGCACTTGATTTTGCTGGGGTCATGTCATTTTCCAAACATGACCGCTACGTGCAATTACTTTTCAATCCCCTGAACAGAGAACCGCCAGTTGGATATCAACGGTGCAGCGTGTCCCAGCTGTTGGCCGCCGATCGTGCAGCCTGGTGCAACCTCATTGAAATCAACACGAAACCACGCCCGGATGCAGCTGGCGTTTTCGCACTTGATACCAAATTGGAAGAAGCCTTGAAGTCCTACGAAGTGAGTTTTACCCTGTTGCCTGCAGTTTCAAAACAAGTCGCAAAAGCTCCAGCCACACCGGGAAACCTGCAGCTGCCGCATCAAAGGGAGCCAGAAAGGGCTCACATCGATTTCGACCATATCAGTCGAAAGGAAAAGGAAAAGGCAAATCCAAGTTTGACCAACGAGTGCCAAGAGAAATTCGCGATGCTGGCGGCACTGCAACTACACCTACTGGTGATCCTATTTGCTTCGATTTTTCTTTGAGAAAGTTGGGACTCCTCCTGTAAGGAGGATACAAACCTTATTCAGAAAAAGGAAAAATTTTAGTTTGACTAAAATTAGCTGTTCTGTGTTTTGCAATCAGCCTTGCAGATATTGGTCATGCAAGTTTATTGCTGCGATGTTTCTGAACATCTTTTTATTGTTTTGTTTACTTAACAAAACTTTCTCACACTGTTTCTAGTTGTCAGTGAAACTTTGGTTTCCAAAACAACGGAACTTAATTTATGTTCATCCGATACTTTCGGTTTAAGGGAGGGAGCGGTGGGAACTCTCGTGGTTTTTCGAAACCTGAAGAGCAATGGGGGTTTCTATATAGATGGAAACCGACGCAGACGAAGACTGGACTCATGTTGTTTTTCCTGGTGATTTTGCACAGGATGAAGTTAGACGTCTAGCTGCCCTTGATAACGATGCTCTTGCGATTGAACATGAGAGTAGTTTGACCAGAGAGCAAGAAATTGCTGATGAGATGCATGCAACTGATTACAATGAGGTATCAGGTTTTGCAAACAGTCACAACGTTGATTTTCTTGCTGGTGCTTATTCGGATGGAACACCTTTGTTGGGTTTGCCCATTACAGACAGTGCATGTGATGCCAATCAACTATATGAACCTTCCGAACCTGCTCAGTCTTCAGCAGGGAACGTTGCCGCTGCTGGCATTGAGGGCTACTCTGCAGACAACACTTTTGGCCTGGCACGTAGTCGTTTGCAACATGCGGGCATTCAGCGTTTTTGGGAGACAGGTTTTTGGAATGACTTCTTTGATCCGAACAAAGACTTGTCTAGCAGCTTTGAACAGACTTTCAAACGACATGTTGATCCAACGCATGATAAATCTGAAGTGGACAGTGCAGAGGTTTTGGAACGTAAGACGAAGTCAGTGAGAGTTGCCGCAACGTTCATGGACCATGTCAAGACCACTACAGTCATGAGTTGGAGGGATCAACGTGATTCTGAATGGCAGACTGCCGTCTACCGCTGGCATGCGATGTTGAGAACTGACACTCAGCAGGCGATGTCAAGGTGTTGCAGCCTTAGATGTTGATCCCAAACTTCAGCAAACCGAACCTCTCTCTGTGAAACAGCTTGAAACGTTACACAGAATTCTTTCGAAGATGCTGAAATCTGGAACCAAGTTTTTGCAGGGATGCTTCTTTTTTGTGTCTATGCCCGGTCACGTTGGAGTGATGCTCAACATGGTGACAGCATCTGGAGGACTTCGATGAGTCAGGAAGCTGTGCATACATAGAGGTGGCAACAGGTGTCCACAAGACGGCAAAGTCGCTCCAGCTCAGACATTTGTTTTTGCCTTTGGTTGCACCTTGTCTAGGCGTAGTGGAAGGTAACTGGGGAGCTCAGTGGTGTGCTTGTCGCAGACAGCTTGGCATTCATGATTTGAAATCTTTTCCACTCATGCCAGCGCCTGATGCCCTGCAAGAGCCAACGGAAAGACCCCTGAGCTCGTCGGAGGCTGGAAGTTGGATGCGTGCTCTCCTCAGTGTGGACGGCACAAACAAACAGATAGGTTTTCCTCTCACTCCTTGAAAGCGACATGTTTGAGTTATGCTGCAAAAAGAGGTTGCTCTTTTGAGGACAGACTCAGCTTGGGATACCACACACATAGCTGGAAGATGGCACTTGTGTACTCACGAGATGGTGCTTCGAGACCGCTGAGAGTTTTGGAGTGCATGTTAAAGGAAATCCGAGACAAGTTTTTCAATCCCAATGACACTCGCGGTGGCAGACTCAGCAGCTTGCCAAACCTTGATGGAGGACGTCCCGCAGAAACCTTGCAGGATCCCGTTGGCAGTGCAGAGAGAGTTTCACATGACCAGTCACATGACTTAGCAGATGAAGTCAAAACTGAAATTCAAGATGTTGATGAGATTGTTTTGAGCGACCATGCAACGACAGGTAGTGAGACAGAGTCCGATGTCGAGACCACGGTGCGACCGAAAGTGTCATACCGTGACATAGTTGCTCCAGAAGGCACGGTTTTGCACCAGCATTGCAAGTGGAAGACTCTGCGTTTGATGAAAACTGAAAACAGAGTTGTCTTCCTTTGCGGTCGAAAGACTAGCAACATGTACAAGGTAACGCAAACGCGTCATGCCTTTGATACCCCAAAGTGCCGTCAGTGTTTCCGCGCAAAGCTTGACTGAAACAGCAGGGCAAAAAGGGTTTGGCAGTTTCCTCAGTTTCGTTTTCGTGATATTCAATTTCATGCTCCGTGACCAATTTGATTTACAGTGATGTCTCATGCGGTTTTTCAGGTACATGAAAATCACAATAGTCATGATTGTGATGTTTCATGTTTTTCATCCTGAACGCTTGAGAATCCATTTCCGAATTTTTCATTTCGAGCGGCGATCGTTTTGATCTCAGACTTGCATGTGTTTCAACAAGACACGGCGCGAGAGAGTATCAAAAACAGTGGACACGATTTCACAGGATTTACCACGACCACTCTTTTTGTAGGTTACCGATTTTTCAATGTTTTCATTGTCAAACAGGATTGCTCTGACAGATTGTAGAAGGAGCTTCAGTCAGAACTAGAGCAATGGCCCTGGTAGATTCTGAAGCTGCCTTTGCAAGTCATTGCAATGCAATCGACAGGAGCCGTGAGTTGCTGAACTTATGCACGGCCGCAAACCTTACCAGTTTCATGAGGTTGGCTTTTGCAATTGGGACGCCGCAGACACCAGCTAGTGAAGAATCGTTCCGAGAGTTTGCAACAGAGATAAATGGTGGCATAGGACCATCCATCACCATGTTGTCCTTGTTGCGGCAACTGCATTTCGAAGCAGTTACAATGGTGGTTGCCCATTTGAAGACAAATGTTTCAACAGATGCCGGAATAGAAGGTGGACGTAAACTCCCCCCTGTGGAGAAGGTGGCCCGCCTCAACGACCAACAAGCCAGGTTGAGAGGGCTATCAATCAGGGGTGAGCTTCAACCATCATATGCGTTGATTGATTTGGTAGCTGGAATCTTCGACAGCGGATCAATAATTTGGTTTCCCCCAAGCAAGTGCACGAAGAGAGATGCAGAGGTGCAACAATCGCTCAAAGAGAAACCTACTACTTTGACAGTAGAACAACAGACGTTGAAATTATCAGCAGGAGAACCGAAGATCAAGGCTGACACATCGAATGAGCTCTTGATGCAATGGGCATTGCAACGTCGTGGCTTGGCGTTTGACCAGTGCAAGTTGATTTCAAATGATGTCCATGACAAGTGGGTGCCATCGTTGTTGATGCAACTCACGAGGGATGCACCCCCGGGATATTCGAAAGTGCAAATGGAGCAAGTTCTACGAGCCGACCGAGAATTGTTCACTATCATGGGACAAGAGCATAGCGGACCTTTTGTCAATGGGCCCAGAGGAGAACTACCTTTGGACATATTAATGGGGCAACTTGCACGCGATCCCAGGGTCAGCATGCACCTTTTGCCGTTGCCTGCAAGCACTTCCCGAACTGCGGCAAGCAGCTCAGTAGAT